CATCTTCTCACACATACATTGCTGAGTAGTAAGCTGAAGACTCATGGAGATATTATGCACATTTCTGAGGTTTTTTTCTTTATAAAACTCTTCTATGGAACCTCTCTCTGTGAACTCTAACTTCCTTGGCCTCTCTGTGCTCCTAGCTCCATTTCTTCAACTCAGGAAGGTTTGTTTCTTCTCAGTTCTCCCTCCCCATGCTATAGCCTTGAGACTGTCCAGGCAGTAAGTCTGGATAATCAGAGGGCTCACCTTATATGCTCCACATCTCTCAAGAATGATAATTCTTTCTTGCTGGATGTCCAATGTCATGGAAAAAAATCACTATTTCATATAGCTCATATAGTTCATCTGATTTCTTAGTTGCTTCAGGTGGGGCAGTAAATCTGGTTCCTGTTACTTCATCTTGGCCAAAGGCAGAAGTCAGAATAAGAAACTAAAGGCAACATTGGGACCATAATCATTTTATTACATGAGATCCAATTCAATCCTCAAAGTCATTAAAGAATAATAATGGTTATAAAGTTCAATCTGGCATGGGATTAAAAGACCTTTCTGATTGGTTCTGGATATCTCTGGCTGCCAGAATACAGGTATTACATAATGCTTTATTTTTCATGCCAGTGAGAAGTTCAATACAGAGAAATGCTGAGCCTACAGATGTACACAGACAGATTTAGTTCTGTGTTCCATGGATGGGAATCAGTACTACCCAGAATGGTAATAATAACACACATATCAGCTCAAGTATGTGGGTGCTGACATTGTGACAGACTCAGTTCTCAGTACCTTATGTGTATTAACTCACCAGGAGCCTTGGATTTTGCCAATGAGGGCACTAATGCACAAATAAGAGACACACAGAGATGGTCACTAGCAACCAATCACTCACTACCAGATCTACTCTGATGCTTTGAACAATTTCTTGCCCTGGGAGGAAGCCAGAGGAAAGATCTTTTTGGATCCCTGCAAAACATTTGACAAAGTCTTACATGTATGTTGCTGAAACAGATAGTTAACTCAGATTTAGAGAGAGTCAGCACATTATCATTATACAGGGACATCTCTAAGAGTTTCTTCTTCAACACAGGCTTATCCAAGGGTCATCAGTGGTTGGATAAAGTCACATGAAAACTTAAATTTGCTGTTAGGGTTATGGATGGGTCCCAGATCAATAATTACTTACTATGTGCCAGCACTGACCAAAGTACTTGGAAAACAATGGTGAGTAAAATCAAATATTCCTGCCCTTGAAGGGTTTATCATCTAGAGGGAGATTATCAATAGTTATGACAAGCAAGTGAATTATATAACATGTTAAAAAATGGTAAGTTTCTGAAAGTAGGGCTTTCCCTTAGGGAATCAGGAGACCTGGGTGCTCTAAGAGTGGGTGGGAGAGGGTTACCAGATTAACATTTTTAAGGATTTTATTTATTTACTTATTTATTGTGTGTCAGTGATTTAGGGGGAGAAGCAGAAGGAGAGGAGAGAGAGAGAATCTCAAGGAGACTCCCTGCTGAGCATTGTGCCTGATGCAGGGCTCAAACTCATGACCCTGGGGTATCATGACCCACGCCAAAATTGAGTATCAGATGCTTAACCAGCTGAGCCACCCAGGCATCCCTTACCAGATTAAAATTTTAAATTGCATGGTCAGGGTAGGCCTCCTTGAGAAGGCTGAAAAAACAAAACCCCAAAACTCAAAAAAGATGAGGCACTTAGTCACCGGGACATGTGGGAGGAGAGTATCCTGGCAGAGGAAATGGCCAGCATGAAGCAGAGCGTGTCCCTGCAAGTTCAAGAAAGAACAGGTAGGCAATTCACCTGGAACGGAGTAGGGGAAAGAAGATGCAGAAGGAAGTAAGGAAAGGATGAAGAGGGGAAAGGGCTCATACTAGCACCAAAAGTCAGTGTTACAGGGGATAAGAAAGGAACAATATAACATATGTACACCCTTCTGTTATACTGAACACCCACTGAAACACAGATTCACAAAAGTACCACATGAGTAAATTTATGACAAAGCAAGTCTTAGAATCCCTTAGTTGGGGGACACCTGGGTGGCTCAGTCGATTAAGCATCTGACTCTTGATTTCAGCTCAGGTCATGATCTCAGGATCCTAGAATCAAGCTCCCTCCCCCACTGGCCTCTGTGCTCAGAGTGGAGTCTGCTTAAGACTCTTTCTCCCTCTCTTTCTGCCCCTTCCACTACTCATGCCCTCTCTTTCTAATTAATTAATTAATTAATCTTAAAAAGAAAAAGAAAAAGAAAAAAAGAACCCCGTAGTAGGGTACTGCCTTAGTTTGGCTTTGAATCGTAGGGTGTGTTCCAGGCCTAGGGTAGCACTCTCCAAGCTCTTGGTTCCCAGCTGGCTCCTGCCTCTCTTCTCCATCCGTATCTCCTGTGCTTCAGCATGGCATTACCACCATCTGACTGTGTGAGTTGCCGCAATCTGACTGTAAGATGCACACTGAAGGGAGCACCCTTGTCTTGCAAGCAGGAAAATTTCCACCAGCTCCCTGAGGCTGCTGGCCAGCTAGTCAGCTATGCTAACACATGCTCCTCTGCTCCTGCTAGGTACTGGGGAGACAAATGTCCATTTTATTTTAGGACTGGTGAGCTCTCAAAGGAAAGGCAAGTGGGGAAATGTATTTTGTGCTTCCTGGTGAGCTGTGAAAATAATGTTTGGTTTCCCTATAACTTGCACAATGAGAGGATCTCACTTTATATATTTGTATGTTGAGCTTCTAGGGAGGAAAAAAAAAAGTAACATAGCTGAGCTGATTGTTACTTAACAACATTTCAGTGTCTTCTTCAAACAAAATGAAGCTAGCAAAGGAAAATGAAATACCAGGTCACCTTCCTCCCTGTTGGGGTCTGTCTTTAAATGCCTGTACATAGTCTTTCCTTCCTCAGTAATAGACACAACCAGGCTCAGCCTGCAGCCCACCCCCACCTTCCTGGCTGGTTGACCTTGGCCTATTACCTAACCTCTCTTAGCATTCTGTTTTCTCATCTGTTAAATGGGGTACAAAGCCTCTGCCTTGACAGCTGTCCTCAGGGTTTCATGTGACAGTGCGTGGAAAGTTGACCCTATCTATGCGCTCTCTCTGCCTGGGAACTCGTAAGTCCCCAGTAGAGGTATCTCCCTCCTCCTATCCCTCCTGGCCCAACTGGTATGCAATTACCTGGCTCCTAAAAGGCAAAAAATGGCTGCAGCTCTCAGGCAGGAAGTGGTCTCTGCCTGGCTCCCCACCCCCACCGCACCTCCAGCCCCACTGCCTCCGCCATCCATTCTGCCCCGTTTGGGCCAGCAGAGCCTGGCCTGCAATATCCCACCAGCCCTGAGGTTGGGCCGAGTGGCTGCTCCGTGTTCTGTGACTCAGCTGGGCACTTCCCTCTTCTCCATCCCCGCTATCCAGGGCATCTTTACTCTTCATGAATGCTCAGGGTCCTCCACTGGGGTTCTAGCCACATGGATTTTGTGCAGACACCACACCATCAAAGGACCCTCTGAAAGCTGCCCTTTCTGATGATTCTGTGTCGTCGGGTACTTTAAAGCACTGAAGGCTGGGACAGGCAAATGGTGCCTCCTGGCTAGCACATGGTATATGAAGAAGTGTCTTCATGGTCAAGGCCAGTGGTGAGCACCAGACACACCAGTGGCAGACTGCCAGGGATGACTAAATCCTGGGGCTCATTGCATCTCCCCAATGAGGTGTAAGGTACAAGGCACTGGGGTGCATAGTGGGAGACGGCTCTGGAAGGGCCCCTTGCTGGCCCCTCCGCAAGGGGATGGGAGAGAAGGATTCACGACAGTGAACAAATGCCCTTCAGGGAAACAGCTAATGGGAAGTGCCGAGAAGGCGCTGCCCTTTTCTGTACCCCCAAACAATGGCAGGTTGTTCTCCACCTGAGGACTCTGCCCTGATTTCCTGAACCAACACCCCCAGAGCCAGGAAGCTCTCGAGAGGCAGCATCCCACCTCCCGGAGTCCAGACGGCCTTGTTCTACCTGGCTGTGACCCCGGGGTCTCAATCTGGAGGCACAATCCCTGGTGTGTCTGTTCTGGAGTTAGTCTTGCCCTTGGCTCTTGTTCTGGGAACCTGCCCCGCCCTCCAGGCTCCCGCCCCGGGACTCAATGCCAACCTGAGCTCCAGCTCTAGGACGGCCCCCCTTGGGCCAGCTGCCACTGGGTGGCTCCTGAGTCCCACATGACCCCACCCGGGCTAGTTCTCCTGCTTCTGGCCTTCCGCTCCAGAACAGCACAGGCCCTGCCCCCCTATCTGAGCCAAATGCCAATGGCCGGCTAGCACACCAGCTGCTCTGGCCTCCCTCTGGGCCATGGCACAGACATGACACCGGCCCAGGTCCCCACGTGTCCGTCTTGGTACTTCCACCCCCAGAAGGGGCCAAGCCATGGCCTGCTGTCTGCAGCATGGTGAGAAAGCATGCGCTCTGCAGGCAAACAGACTGAGACCAACCCTTGCTCTCCTGCCTATGAACCAAGCCATTCGGAACGACCACTTCAACTCTGAGGCTTAGTGTTACCCCCCGTATGCTGGGGAGAGCAGCCCGGGGAGCCTGTGGTGAGGGCTGACTGGGCTTACACGTTAGAATCTCTAGCAAAGGACACACCATGGGGGCATGGCTCAGTAAATGGAATATCTTGACAGGGTCACTGATACCACTATCAAATAACCAATGTTATTATTTAGTGAAATGTTCCCAACCTGACACATCCCAGCGCTTCGTGGTTTTCAGCCGCCTCCCATAGCTGTCTGGGGTTTGAGATCAGATGACACTACCTCACTTCCGAGAAGGATGGGGTGCTCCTGTGCAAATGACTTCGAGGGTGTCCCATATGTGCGTGCGTGGATCAGTGAATGTGTGCATGCATACACAGGTGTGTGCGTGCGCACAAGTGGCATAGGAGAGCAGTGTCCTCCAAGAGAAGGCAGGCGCTCTCTCCTGAGCCAGCCCTCCTGCGGTTGCTTACCTCCATGTTTCGGCAGAAGGTGGCATTGGTGCCAAACAAGATCTGGCACTGCTCGTTGGCGCTGTAGTGCATCCCTGGTAGCTTGTGAGGGAGACGGACAGCATGCTGGCTCCTGGGGTCGGTGACCAGCAGACATGCGCTGACTTTTGACCTGGAATAGCCAAGAGGCAAGCTGACTGGTGAGTGTCCTGCCCACGTTTCTGTTCTGATTTGCCAGCCAAGAGCAGGTGAGAAACTGCATCTCCAAACTACCGATGGCAGGATGCCCCAAGCCCCGGCACATGGATGGTGCTTTTTGGTTCTTTTTGCTCTTTTTTTCAACCTGGCCCAATGCAGATATTTATGGCAAAGGCAATGGGAGTTTAGCAACTAGGAAAGGGCCTGAGAAGCACACCCACGAGGCTAATGTACCTTTCTCAAGTTTGAGCATTCTTGGATGAGAATGCTTTTGAAATAGATTCCTAGGGTATTTTCTTAGAATACGTCTCTGAGCAAAATTACTAGGAATGAAGAAAAAAAGAGAGAAGTTAGGGTCATTTTGTTCCATTTCAAATAAAAACCAAGTGCTTATTTCCAACTCTGCAGATTCTCTTGGAGGGGCTGTGGCAGGCCGTGACAGTGGATGGGTCCAGGTATCCCATCCCCGAAAGCTGGCTGGTGGCACGGCCTGCAAAAGACATCAGGACGGCAACCAGGGTGGGAGTGTTCACAGATGTTGAGAGCAACTCTGAGAAACTGAACCGGGGGGCTGTGGCTCCATTAGGAGGTTAAATACTTGAATGCTTTGATTTCTCAATTCCCAAAGCAAGGCAGATGGTCGTGGAAAGGAAAGCCAGCCTCTCACCAAGATTCCTAAGGGACAGAACTGCACACGAATACACAGAGGCTGACACTGGTCCACCTCTCCTGGGCTCTGATATACACAACACTTGAACAAAGGCAGTGGGACCAGCCACGTGTGTATGAGCAAATGAAAATGCCCCACCCTGGTTCACTGACCCTTCTGGGAAAAATGAAACAATGTCAAGTGGCTTACAATATTTCATTAAGGTTCTATGATAACAAGTCCTCAGGAGGAAACAAATTATATTAAAACTGACAAGTCCATTTTTAAGACTTGTATACCGCTTAATTTCCCTAACCGCAGGAAACGTCACAAAAGAAGACTCAGGATGAGGAGAGAAGGCAGAGTGATATCTTAACTGCCCAGTCCTGAATTCACTGGGTGCTTTAATGTGTTACTGAACTACAAATCTTCATAGGCAGGTAAGACTCCCTGAGTTCCTTTTGTCTCCATGAAGAGGACAGATAACTCCAGCTAAGTAAGGAAGTGATTAGGGTCTGTCCATCAAATCTGTAAGTTTGTCCCTGAGGTCTTGACACTAAGGGACGCTTATGGTACAGGAGCTACAACCTTGTTTAACAAAGGTCTGAAATCAGATGGCCAGCTCTTCCATGGAAATCTGCGAGTGGAATGGTGCAGATATATTCTGGAAAGAAAGTCACAGTGAGATAGACAGAGCCCATGCCCACATGGGAGGGAGGTGAGCGGGCCTCGCTCCTCAGCAAATGCGTTCCCTATCAAGGGAAGCAGCCTGAGCATTAAGGAAATGTCCTTTTGCATAGCAGCCCAGGGATGCTGCTAAGACGGTGTCCATTCAGGGTCAAAATACTGCAGAGAAACAAGATGGGGTTCTTTTCAAGTCACAGTCACCATGTTAACATTCAATCAAGCAACAAAACATTTATGAATAGCAGCTGGATGCCCTGCATCATACTGGACACACACTTGGGAGGAAGTCTTGGTCCAATAGGGGAGGTTCTGTACTGACCGCCTCTTTGCCAGCTCACAGTTCTAAGAGATTCATTTCTCCTTCCCACACTTGCTAAGACTCCAATTGTTGTGTCTTCTGGAAGTACTTTCAAATGTAGCGACTGTATAGAATGATTCAAAGACTTACTTGAGGAAGTTTTCAAGGTCATCACGACTGCATGAGGACCAAGAGAGGTCGCTGGGGTTCCGGCCTTTTACCCACTCTCCTGACATGATGTGGGATCTGCCGGCACAGGACGAGTGGTCATCATCATGGTTCATCCCCAAGCTGCCCGAGGGAAAGGAAAAGGAGAGAGGGACACTTAGACTATAGGCTTTCACATACTAGGCTAACTTAAGTCAAACCTGAGAGACCAAGAGTGACACAGGTTGATACTCGGTACTTGGCTACTCTCAACAGAGAAGACTGACAACCACAAGTTCATATAGAAACAGAGGGATGATTTCCTTACTTCATGAATGAAGACTGATGAAGCACACAGAACACCATAGCATTTGCTAAATGCATGAAGACATGAACAGATTACATTCACTGTGGTATCATATTTCTTAAACTCTAAGTTTCTGATGATTACACTTGCTTTTTGACACTAAAATATGCCAATATTAGGGATCTAAGTGTTTTGTTGTCCTACGGGGAAATCACATTGTGAAGGTCTAGTGGGGACCATCCAGACTTTGGCTTACATAATATCATGGGTGCAGATCTTCAAATCAGTGAAAAATGTGGCTTTTCTATCTTTTATATCACATCATTATACCTGGGCCCACCAAGATCATACCTGTCGCCTTCCCTGCCCCAGGGTACTTAACAGACACCAGGGCATCTTGGTGTCTAGATGTATGTGGCCCTCCACACACTATAGGCTGAATGACGGTCTTAGTTTGCACATCTGCTGTCACTGGGATAACCTGGGACACAGAACATATGAGATCAGAGGGCCCATGCTTTGTCAGTCTGTGATTTCCAGGGCAGAGACTTGCTGTGCTCAAGGATGCCCATCCTTTGTCAACAAGCTCAATGGAGAGGACATGCGCCTTCCTTCATTCAAAAATATATAAGAGAAGTTTCCCAAGTGCCAGTTAATGGACTAGAAATAGAACAAAGAATGATGCATGATATGCCATCCTTGACCTCGGATCACTGCCAGCCTGGGCAAGGAGAAGATACAGAGACAACTCCAAAAAGAGGTTCTAAAGGCTTCTCCAGAGCCACCTTTCCTGGTTTCCGTCACATATCTCTGACCATTTTCCATCAATTCCCCGTGTTGGCTGCTTAATCCTGGTGTCTCTCAACAGAGACCCACCTGTTTTTACTCTGCATGCCCTCTAGGTCCCTCCATATGCTTGCCTACAAGACACAGCCTTCACCACCATCACATGGAGTTGGATTAGTCAAAACTTTCCACATCCTTCTTGAAATACACCAGCAGGCCCTCGTGCTCCTAGGTCTCCAGGCCAGCTGGGCACTCTCTGCTCACCTATGCATTTCTGCTCCTGTGAGTCGAGGGTACACTTAACCTGGGCTTAATTGTATGTATTCTCAAACCTATTTATGTCACTAACACCTGCTGTGTTAGTTAACACGGGTGGTCACATGTTGTGCTAACCAATGAAACAGGAGAACGAAAGCTGTTGTTTTCAGGAAAACTAACTTAGTGAGTATCTAAAAATAGCCCACTGCCCAACTGGGGGTGGGCAAGACAAGTGTAAAAGATGAGGGGTGAAAATATAAAAATCTGTGCTGGCCCACTTCATAAGGGTCTTTTATGTTCTACTCCATCTAGAAAGAAAAAAGAAAAAAACAACAACCCTGGGGTTTGAACTCATTTCATTACAGTTGCAGCTTGTGTGAAGAAGGTGATATGTAAGTCTAGTTAGCAGACACATGCCCTCAAAGAAAAAGCTTTCACCCCCACCGTGAAATCGGTGAAAATATTTAACATTTTCACGGCTTAAGCTAAAACAAAATATAGAAGGCACCTAAGTATAATTTCTTTACATTTCCCCACTTGCACCAATTTTTTTGGTCAGTTGGTCAAATGATTAACTACTATCCTTTCAGAAGAAAGCACACCGGTGGCGTCACCTTCATGTGGATGGCCACATTGTGCCATGGTCTGGACTGCTCTACTAGACCCTGCCCTCAACAACGCCCTCCTTCTGTGTTTCCCAAAGGCTCTTCCAGCTCCCCAGATTCTCTCAGGGCAGCATTCTAACCCAGTTTCTCCACCAGTGACTGGCACAGAGCGGGCATTCCATGCATATTTCTTGGATGAATTATCTATTTAATATGGGGGAAAGCACCACAAAATTGGAGAATCCATTATCCATTACAGGGGTGCTAAGTCATGCAGTGGCGGCTCATTCAACGGAACAATCCAAGTCTTCTCTGGTTAGACAGTCCTGCCCTCCTGCCAAGAGACCAGGTAGCCATCTGGTTCAAGCAAAATGAAGAAATGATAGATTGCCCGAGAAGTCTGACCAAGAGGAATAATTTAGATATATTTCCAGTAGTTACTTTGCTGAATGAATCCTCTTTTTCAATGTCACAACTCAGTTTTTTATTTTTTTTTCCTGCTCATTATCCATCTACACCTACAACTATCTACAGCCATCTGTCTACCTATCATCTCTTTGTTTCATGTTAACATTTGAAGGAACTAGCTGATTTTTCAAGTGCATTTATAGCAGAGCATGTTAAAAGCCATCTTACATTTGATTTAGGGTTTGATTTGAGATCTTTACATAAAACTAGTGAGAGAGTTTTCAAATGGATCTTGTGAAAACGTTGAGGGATTTCAGTGAACTCTGCTCAGTGTGCAGAGGTGACAGAAATAAAATGTCTCATGAAAAACGTGGCTCCATCCTATCTTCGGTGACAAGGTGTAAGCACAGCAGTGGACTAGGTGAAAAGGCTTTGTCGTCAACCTCGGAGAACCTAGTTCTACAGAGAACCAACATGTGAGTCAGTTGTTCATCTGGCTTTGCGCTTTTAGAAGCCGGTTCCCATCATCCCAGGCTGGGATCTCCAGAGCGGCCACCAGATGGGTTTTTTCAAACAACAAGGACGCCGTTCGGGAAACCACAGTTGGGGGAGATCCAAGCCCTGGCAGAGTGGCCTCACCACAGATGGAGGAATGTTTCCTTTGTGACCACTTCTAAGTTTTCTCTGGTGGTCAAGTTGGTTGTAAAATGAAAGAGGCTCCTTTGCTCGCACCGCCAGACTCTGCTGGCCAGAGGGCCTTGTCTCTCAGGAGACAGAATTCTGTTTAAAACAGTTGTTCAGAAAAGCTGGCTATACCATCCATAGTTGTGGGCCTGCACAGTACGTGATGTGAGCGTTTCAGGATGCCGGCCCCAGAGGAGGACTTCCCCAAGGAATGTTCCAGTCAGCAAGATCAGCCAAGAGTGGGATTCTTGGATTTCTGGAGCCTGTGTCTAACACAGGTCATGCTTGATCCGGTTTAAAATGTTCAAATGCTAATGAAGTGCCTCATAAATTTACAGTTAGATGAACTAGCATTGGGCTGAGAGTCTTGATATTTGAGGTTTACATAAACTACTGTTTAAGCTATTTTTAGATTAAGTTCAGGAATACTTGACTGAGAAATGTATGTTGTTTTAGATTTATGTCCCATGGTATCTATTACTTCTGGCAACATTATATTTAACAAAAAATGGGTAGCATTAAGCACACATGCTAATTCTAAGTAACAGTGGGGTTAAGGATACAGACAGGCCTCACGTCACACATGACCCAAATTTATCAGACACAATAACAATTTAATGGCCTTGAGTTGATTTTTATCTTAAAACAAATAACACACTGCTTCTGTACTTGCCTTAGGAAATCTGATAAATACCATGCAGGGAGTTCCAAGAGAATCCCTACAATGTTCAACCCCTCCTAGCTTCACCCCAAATCCTGAAAAACCATGGAGAGGGTTGGGTGTTCTAGTTCTGGGCTTGGTGTGTCTGCCATGCTGAAAGCTTTGATTTTACCTGGCTCTGAGCCTACGTGTGGAAACTGTTTCTGAGAAGCATTGGGATTTTGACATCAGGGATGCAATCAGGTCCCACCTCCCCTCAAAGTGGTCTTGCCTGGGAACCTAGGGAAACGGCTCCTGCAATGTAGCCTCTCCACTGAAGGGGTTCTCAGCCAGTCCAGGCCCTATCCCAGTAGCCCTGTGGGCAGAATGACAGTCCCTTTTCAGGAAATGCTTACTGACGCTACAGTAACAGGGATGGCTCGTGCCTCATTTCTAGGAAATGAGAGACAGCTTTTAGTTAATATTACTTAACATGATAATAACCAACACCCTACCTTTACTTTTCCTTGACAGGAAAATTCTCACTGTCAATACTTCTTTGCCAAGAACCACACCGTGCCCTCTTCAGCCACTAAGAAATGTCACCTGCACGTGTTGAAAGTCACTAGGGGTAACAGGGTGCACTCGCTTATAGAGGCTAAACTGTCATGATCACCCATAACCCCTTTGAGGGAGGAACAAAACAAGTAGGCAGCAATCACATCGAAATCCTTTCACCCCAGAGAAGTCTTTGTTAGTTTTTGGTTGTGCACAGGGAAGTGAGCCTGTCAGCCTTCAGGAATTCAGCAGCAATGCAACTTCCAGAGTAGATCTGGGGGTCTCTACAGGTTCAGCTTTACCTCCTACACATACTGGATCATTGCAGGAAGAATGATCCCACAAGCCCACGAAATTCTGAATCGCCAATGGGCGAATCACAATCCACAGGGTGGGCACACTCTTGCCAAAGCAAGGGGCACTGTCATCTGCGCTATGCTCCTTCTCTCTTTTCCTTTTCTCTCTTTACCCCTCTCTCACCAGTGAATTGAATTTTTGTTAAGCGAAAAATTAACAGCCGGTGTGAAAACCGTTTTGCCAAGGCGGATTACACCATAGCGGTGAAGATAGGTAAGACGCGTACATTATAAGCCATCTCTCTTCCCTAGTCAGAGCGCTCACGTAAGGAAAACACTCACGTTCTTGAACTGACACCTAAGGGATTTTGAAGTCAAGTATCTGAGCCAGGTCTGTCCTCTCCTCGGTCTGGCCCAGGACTATGTACATGTGCACACACGTGCATATGCGTTTACTCATACGGAAGAGTCACATCAAATGCACTGTTAATTTTTCGCTTAACAAAAATTCAATTCACTGGTGAGAGAGAGGTAAAGAGAGAAAAGGAAAAGAGAGAAGGAGCATAGCGCATGACAGTGCCCCTCGCTCCGTCAAGAGTGTG